GGGGGCCATCCCCGGGCAGCAGCGCGCGGTCGTGGGGTGGGTACGGCGTTGTCCCTCTGCGGCCGAAAAGGGGTTGTGTCTTCCAGAGCTGCAAGGCTGTTAGTAGCTGCGTGATCCAAGAGTATTTGCGGCCACCTGAAGTTTTTTTAGATTTTAATAAAGTTCTCAATAAGGAAAAGAACTAATAAGGTTTTGTTATTTCAGATTTTGCCTGTGGCTCACACAAAAATACATCCTGATCAGGTATCATATGTCTTTTCTATTGTTTCTCAAGCCCTTGCATGTAACATCCTAATTTAGCACCCTCACTTCACTTCAAGTGCCAGAAAGTGCTTTCAAAAAGCCCAAACCATTAGGTAACATTAAAGCCAACAGAAATTTCCCCTAGGGGGAGGAGCTTTTGAACTTGGGGTGAAAAACTTAAATAGTGAAGATCTGTGTAATCTGCGGAAGTTGTGGTATAAAGTCAGAACGAGCTGTGTATTGTAGGCCATAGATTTTATCCAGTTACTTTTGTATGAAAAATGAATTGCCCATCTGACCAAAACATCTTTCAGAAAACATACGCTCTTTTTGGTAATACATCATCACTTAGAGAAGCCACTTACATAGTGCAAGCTGAATGCTGGTTTTAAAATCAGATTAATAATAAATGTAATCAGAATAAGCAAAGGTGGAAGAAGAAGACTACAGAAAATGAACTAATTCTGAAAGAAACAGGAATGTTAGGAAACATAAATTAATCATTTGAGAAAGTCTACAGGATTTTTTTATCACGATTTATTTTTCTGCTCTTAAAAACAGACCTAGACACAAATACTTTTTCTCATTTAGTTCAGGAAACTCAAGTATGATCCATAACGTAGCAAATATGCCGAATTAGCGTATTTAAGCCATTGTGGCGCTACATGCAAAATTTGCTGTGGTTAAGCCCTTCCCTTTCTCATTGTTAACGATCATCACATGAAAATCTGTGTGATGCTTCTACTCCAGAAGTCAGTGCTGAGAAAATAAAAGATGTGTTTTGTGGTCAGCCCTCCCCTGAAATACATTATCACAGTAACAGTGATGAGAGAGTGCATAAATGAATCACAAGAGCATTGGGAAGCCCTTTTACAGACCGAAGAGATGTGTCGGTACAACATATGCCACTAACTACGCATTTCAGCATACTTACAAGTGTCTAATAAACCAGTTCTTCTGCAGCATGGTAGTAAAAAGATTGTTGGAAGAGAACTGCATTCTTGGCAGGCATTTTCAAAAAATCTGTTACTGACTGCATGTCCTTCCTCATTTGCAGATATTGCTAATAATTTCACAATGTAACATTTAACTTTTTCTTTCCTTTCTCTGTCTCTGGGTGTCACTTCCTATTTCAGAAACTAGGTGAAAGTGTTCAGCAACTACTTCTAGCAAAAATTGCAGTCTACTTGATGACCTTCTTAATAGTCACAGTGGCATGGGCAGCTCATGTAAGGTAGGAACACAGCGTTTAACTCCAAAGTTAAAGAAAAACTAGTGTTTAAAAGGACAGGAGGTAACCGTGTGTCTGATACATTACTGCCTTGCTGATATATTTCTGAATTGTCTTTTGTTGGATAACATAAAAAATTAATTGTAAAGAAATGCTACCCTAAGCAGTGAATAACTGTATTCTTAAGCCACTGACACAGTGATACAGAGAAAAACAAGCAGCATATATCTTTTAAATTAGAGTTACTCTTCATTTTAGTTCATATTCTAGACAGAATTAAGCTTCTAATTATGCTGAAAAAAGTATGACTTTGTAACTTGTGTGCTAAACAAATAGAGCAACTGATATAGTACAGCTGGCCTAAAACTTGTCTCTCAGTCCTCAGCAGTGCTTCTCACAAACCAATTGTAATGTTGCAATGCAGATGCTGCATTTTATAGGGTTGTTCACACTGCCATCTGCCCGTGTCTTGGTAGTTAAAAAGAAATTTACATGCAGGCATCGTTCGGGAAGCAGGGTGGTTTTTGTCTGAATTTTGAAATTTACGAATGTTACTATACTTTTTCCTTAAGTAAGTGGATTGACTGCATTCTAATAGAGGTGTGCAACCTGTAATTCCATACTTGAAGCTTATACTTCACATCAGTGCATTTATCACATTGCTTTTCTTTGCTTGCATAACTAAATGCTGAGGCATAGTCTTTGAACAGTTTAGGGTTTTGTGGAGGGTGATTGGTTCTATTGATTCTAAGTGACACTTCCATGGATCAGGAATTTCATTAACAAGGTATGGGGCAGTTTGGAAGAAAAACTTATTTTCTTTGCATAATAATAACTATGCTGTATCTTCAGGAGAAATAATTTTAAGCCTTAAAGTTCTGAAAATATTCTGGCTCTAACAGCATGAACTTGCCTCTATTCTCCCAAATAAAACTCAGAGAAAATCAGAATAATAACTTCACAATGGTGTGTGAGACAAAGAAAAATATGAGACTCTGGATGGAATCTGAATCTGCTCTGGAAGATCTGTGCAGTGCTACTCCCTACACAGCATTGCTTCGTCTGACAAGCTGAAAGTCAGTCTGGTGCCTGTATTTTTATTTTGGCATCAGAGTATCAAATGGACTTGTTCATGTTCTTGTGTGAGCAGTGAACAGTGCCTGCTGGTGAAAGTCTGCCTTTGTTCATGCTTCAGAAGCATTTGCTTTGAGCAGTGAGCACAGGCTGTCACCCTCCAGCTAGTTCTGGGCTTTGCCTGTGTTTAAGTAAGTAGGTAATTAATTGACAGCTAATGATAGTTGTCCTGTGGCTCAAAAGCTTTGTGCAGCTTACTAGCAGTTTGCTCTCCTGTCCCAGGTGTGTCAAGTGGCAAAAGATAAGAGCTGTTCTGGGACAAAACTGCTGTGGGAGAAAGCAAACCAGTGGCCTGCCCTGTGACTTGGCTGCATTTCATCTTATTTCCTCTTATAGTGAAGTGGCAAGTCATCCAGAGAATTGTCATCAGCTCCTGTTCCCGAATCATCCCCGTATCTTCCATCTTTCAAGGAATGATACCATTTGTAGCTCACTGCCTTGTTAGGTTTTTGGTATGTGACTCGATGGGTGAAAACTGACATCTGGATCACTTCTTCACAGATGAATTGGCTCTTCACAACGGTGAAATTTACTTCAGAGTAATAATTTCAGATGTAGAAGAAGGATAGAGTAGGGAGAAAAAAAGCCAGTTTGCTACATCATATGCCACTTGTCATTCAAATAGAAATGAGGTTCTTAATAACTGCTTCATGATTGAACTTGACTGTTCGTATCTCGCTTTTCAGATTTTTCTAACAAATTACTTCCATGTTCGAGCTAATGAGTTTTGGTAGCACCTGGACTACTTGTATACGTCCTGGAGCAAAGGAAATCAGGTTCCCCTATAATATCACAAGCATACAATTTGTATACAGTGTTGTAAAACACATTTCGGGAGCTGGCTTGTTCATGATATCTTGCCTTGCCTTGACAGGTTGTTTCAGGTGATACAGCTAATAGATGATGTCCTCGCTCTTCTAAATCTGGTGAGTCTTGTCAGACATGCTGGATGCTTAACTATCAAGTATAGGTCACTTTTTCTTAAGTCTGTATCTACATATCCAAAAATTTCTAATTTAAATAGTGTAACGCTGCCAAATTTCCAAGTCAGGAAGATAAAAAGAGCTTGAATTCCTCCTTGCCAAAGTGGCTGATTGGTAACTAACTTGCTTTTAACTTGCACATGTTTTACTGTAAGCCAAAAGAAGCTCTGCAACAGGTTAATCTGAAGTTCATCTAAGGGAACTGAAGAGGCACCTATGGCAGAAGCTTTTGACTCTGTTCATCTGTGTCCAGCTGAAGTATCTGTCCTCCAGGCTTAAGAAAATGAAATGCTATGTCTTTTGTGGCAAAAAATCTTAGTGGTAGATTTGAATTACAGTTACATTTTCAGTCATTTCTCTGTTTTAAGTTGCTCAGAAATTCATTCTGAAGCTTATTTAAAATAGAGGATTATATGCTTTTTCAAAAACTACCACTGAGAGACCAATCTCTGAATCAGTGTTTTGAGCTTTACGCTTTCCTAAATCATATCTCTGAAAAATTCTTGATTTATTTGAGTATTTTTTTAATGAGCCACCGTAGTTACTAGTAGTTGTATTGGGCTGCTGAAATGGTGAACATATTCTTGCTTCCAGCTAGAGCTTTGTATTTTACTATATTGTTTAAAATTCTGTTCTCTGACAGTGTGCAACCACACAGTTAATATAATTTTATTAATAAAAACACCGCGTTTAAACTCCATGAGATAAGAGTACAGGAAATTATGTTAGAGGACTAGATTAAGGCATGTAATTCTTATCTAATGTAGCTTTTAAAGCAATGTATTTCTTTGTGCTTGAGGTGTTTGTTTTAATTTGGCTTTTTTATATATGAAATGTTTGTGATCAGAGATTAATAGTTTTGACAAATCAGAAACACATCTTTAGGAGGTGTGGTACTTTTGGCATTGCTACTTTAGAAAGAAGCCTGTTAAGAACCATAGCAAGACTTTTACCCATGGTGTTGGTAACAAAACTGTAGTCTTTTCTAAAATAAGCTTGTATAGTTTGGGTAGCAAACATGGAAGATGTGTACAGAACTAGCCATTTGTTACAGTCAAAGCTCAGCAACTTCAGAAATGTGGGTTTTATTTGTGACGCAGCATGATCATTTAATCTGTTTGTGTTGCATTTTCTGGACACATCTTTAATGAGGGGATTGCTTGCTTTGTATTTTACCTAATGTTTCAGTACGCTTTTTTCTTTTTTAGGCTTGTATGATGATCATAACTTTCTTGCCATACACAGTAAGTACTTTTCTAAAATTTGACGTATGTTTAAATTACAGGGTTTTTTTCTTTATTTATTTGGAAAGACTTTACCAAAGTATTCAGAAACCCAGGAAAGTGTTATTATAGTATAAACCCTGAAGCCATTGTAATAGTTAAGCCTTACTTTTTTAAAATTCATGAGGACATGTTATAACTTTCAATTATTGCGTGTTATAGACCTGGCAGAAAATGGGTATTCTTGAAGAAAAATTAAAATCATGGGAAGTCATAGTTTCCCATGATTTCTTTTAAAAAAGCAGCTGTATTGAAAAATGTGAAAGTTGCCTGATGAAAGTTTTGGATTTTATAAGGGAACTAAATCTGTGTTTCAAACTCCTCTTTAGATGACAGAACATTTTCCTTTTGCAATCTAGACAGAGTTTTTGGTATCACTTTTTACTTATTTGGCAAGATTAATTCTGGTAGCCAATCACTCATTTTTCAAATCTGCAAATTTGATGTTCTGCACAATTTCTGGTCAGATGACCTTTAGCCCTAGCAAGAATACTTGCAACTGAACACCATATTAGCAGAACAAAACCGTTGCTTAAAATGCATCTTGACTTTTATTGTATGTGTAGAAGAGATTTCTATGACAGGCACCTGTTTCTCTGTGGATATATCTGTGTTATATATTAGTCTGCAAAGAATAAGGCTCTGGTCAGTAAAATGATATTTATCAGCAAGAGCACATACTTCTTACTTTGCCTTGAAGCTGAAATAATTCTTGGAAAGTTGTCAATGTAACCCTAGTACTACTCTACCACTCCCTGCTTTTTTCCCCCCCTGCCTAATGAAGCTGCAGAAATTAATACAACTGGGAGTCACAGAGGTAGAGAAATTAAAAGATTCAAAAAGGTGTCCTAATATCAAGAATTTTCACAGCTATGAACATCTTGTCCACTGAAGACACTGTTAAACTCTATGTTCAACTACAAGCCAGTCTGTAGTTATTATGGAGACATAGCGTCAGAGAGGTTAAAGTTTTGCCGTATCAACGTGAGAGCAAAGCCATCTCTCCAGATGCCCTTTGTTGGGATGCCTGCATGTATTTGTGGCTAGAAATTGCATTTAGTGGAATTACATTGAAATGAACAGTATTGTTTAGGTTTTTGAATTTCAGTATTGAAATGAAGAGTGCTTCTGTTTCTCTACTGTTATTCCTATGTTACTTCTTAATTAAATATTTGATCTAGTTGCATTTTTTTCTAGTTTTCCTTAATGGCCTCCTTTCCAGATGTACCTTTTGGCATTTTCCTGTTCAGTGCCTGTGCTGTTGTCATTGGCCTTATACAGGTATTGGAGCTATTCATTTACATTTTCACTTTAAGATTTTCTTGGGCAGAACTAAAATTGCGTTTCTCAACTATGGGTATAAATTGCTAAGTGTCTTTTTTGTTTGTATAGCATTCTTGTTCAAAGTTGCACCTGATGTGATAATACAGTATCTGTATATAAGATGAAAGTTTGCATTGCCACTGTCCTGTGAAGCTGATTTATGCAACTAAATCAGCTGATCTCAAAGTCCACAGAATAGTCATTCTTTTCCCACTCTTTAAAAATGCCTTGGGGAAATAGCAGTTGACTTTTCCTGCTAAGGTTCTTACTGAGCTGTGCAGCGATGTCCGAGTGAACATGGGCTTTCAGCCTCGTAGCACTGGTTTTCTCCTGGTGCAGTGCCTTGTCGCTTTCTGTTCTTTATTGTGGAGGTCTTCATTCCTCTTCATGTAAGATCCATGGTCATGACAAGCTCTGCAGAGGAGACTAAAATCCTGACATGCAGTGTATTGTGAAATCTCAGAGTTTCTAAGACCAGCTGTCGACGTGAGAGTAAAGAATAAGGTTGAAAGTGTTTTGGAATTTGTTGATTTATAGTTTTACAGTTTTATATTCGAAAATATACTGCATATACTTGTATGTAATAACTTCAGTAATGCTCTTCTCCTTGCAGGCTGTAATAGTAGTGTATGGATTCTATCACCCACACTTACTGAATCAACAGATACAGGTGTCTGAAAATCAGAATTTCTATAAACATCATATCTTAAAGATTATCCTAAGAGGACCAGTTTTATGCTTTTTAGCAGCCATCTTTTCTTTTTTCTTTATTCCTTTGGTAAGTACTCCCAGTTAACTGAAAACTTTGATGCAGCAGTTCATATTAGTTGTATTTAGGACTGTGTATTAAAATAATGATGTCCATGTTAAATATGCAGACTTTCTCAGTTGCCAGTTCTGTGGTGGTGTAATCATGGCTGCTATTTTGCACTGAAGCTGTTCAGTTCACAGATACCAATCCGTAACGTGATCCATGAGTTTTGATAATTTTGAAAGAATACTCTGCTACAATATGTGCTTTACTTGCTCTGCCTGATTTTTTTTAATGCTTCTCTTAATTAGAAGCAGGTCTTCTGAACTGTAACTTAGCATCTTGCTCATCATAAGTAGGTGAGATAATGTGGAAGGTTACATGAAATAAATATCATATTGCACAAACTGAAGACAAGTTAAAATAATTGCTGCACTAACTCAGGGTGTGAGACCAAATAGAATAAGCAGACCAGTTAGCCAACCTGCATCTCAAAACAAATGTTTTTGGCTAAGGGCTGCTCTTACACAGGCTTTTTCTCTGCCATCTTTATCAAATGGCAGTGAGTTGCTCCTACTTACTAACAGCTTTTATCTTTCTCAAAATCCCCGCTTGGAACTGAAATCTAGTTTTTGGATGTATCCTGAGCTTCCTTTCCTCTGTCTTGTTCTTTAGGAAAAGGTGCATTTAACTGAGTTTTGAGAAAGATTCCATGGGAATTAGCAGAGTTTAAATAATCCCCAAATTTGGGAGGAATCAGGTTGCTGCTGATAAAAGGGACAGTAATGAGTCCAAACGTGAAAAGGCCTAATTTTAGCTGAAAATATGTTTTCCTCTTACATCCTTACTTCCCTCTTCTCCCTCACCTTGTTCACTAGTGTATTTTCTTCTAATATTAGTAACAGTGAAATTAGTCTCCAAGTTGCTCTTTTGCTTAGACCTGTGCAAGGCCTGTGAAACACTCATGATCCACTGGGGTGTCTCTGGGACACAAGTAGTAGAATCATAGAATCATCGAATATCTCAAGTTGGAAAGGACCCATAAGGGTAGTTCTCCAACTTCCAAGGCAGTCATTGCTGCATTTTTGTTAGCAGAATTATCTTCTTTCTTGTTTTAGCTTGCTTCATTACTGGTACTAAATTAGCTGTCAAAAAGCAGTATTAGGTTGCACATGGAATATTCAGGAAGTACATGTGCATTTCAGGTGAGCCTTTTCCATGTCATAAAGTCAGGATTTGTTTTTCTCAATGTGATTATACCTAAAGATTGAGAGTAATAGTTTCATATTAAACTTGGAAGGTAATTTGTATTTTGATAACTAAATTTAAACTGTGTTCATTTTCCTCTCCATAGTCTTATGTACTTCTTGGGCTCGTAATCGTTTTTCCCCATCTCACTCGATTCATTACATGGTGTAAAACCAAGATTGTTGGTGAGTAACAATATTCATAGGAGTATGTTCTGATATGTTATTAGGTTGTCAACATGTTACTGGAGTGAAGTAATTTTAGTTCTACTTCCATTTTCAGTCTTGGAACGTAGTGATTTGGGGGTTTATTGCTGTGCTTCTGAACAGTTTCTCCCTCGTTCCCTGGTTTCCCTGAATTTGTGACTAGATTTGTATAAGGCAGAACACATTCAAAGATCATTTCTGAGTGCAAAACCTCTCTGGTTTGTCCTAAATAATGCACATGCATGCACACATACACAAGTACATGAGTGATGGCTGCAGGCCATCTATCCCTTTTCCCTCCTAGAAAGGGAGCATGGGGATTGAAGAATATAGGAAGCAAGCTCTATGCCTGTATCACTTTCTTCCCAGCAATACTGTATGGTCCCACATCTTCACACTGGAAGCAGAGCACCTATAAATCAAAGTTTTTCAGGGTAATTAAGTGTTTATGGTGTTACATCTCATTAATCTAACTGCTGTGGCCTAAAGGTGTGCCTTCACACATGGATTAAGTCAGCAAAAATCCATGCTTCCTTCCCTCACGCTCCTTGCTTACGGTCTTTCTGCCCCCCTTGTGTCAGCACTAACAATTGCACAACCACACCAACAGCCAGAGCTGCTCTTAAACTCTGCTGAGAAGGAGGTTGCCAGTGCCAAAGTAAAGGAGAAGGTGGTATCGTGCAACCTACTCATCCAGAAGGTGGAGTGTCCCTCTTTGAGAGCAATATAAACTGACCACAAAACCACTTTGTTTTTTCCCAAAGATCATGTCTTTGGAATTGGTACTCACGAGATGAGTTAGAAGAATAACACCTTTGTGCTTCTGCTGCTGCTATTCAGCCTAGTACAAGTCCGTCTGTGTACACTACAAATGGGAACATACTTCTGACTCCCCCCTGTGGTAGCAATACTAGACAGAGGCAGAAATGCACTGAAATGGCTGAAGCCGGACTCTCAGAGCCAGAGAATAAACACGTACAAATATCGCCTGTGCCTTCTGCGACAGGGGCACTGCGGTTTGCAGTCAGGTCATGTCTGTGTACGTCTCGCCCCATCAGATGGCTGACATAAGTTACTGCTCTGAGTAACTTGTAATTGACTGAGTTGTGATTACACTTGCTTTTCATTCAGTTCATCTCCTTACCTCCTCTGGAAGCTATAAGCTTTTTCTTCATCCAGTCTATACTCCTGAAGTGGTGCAGCTTGGCTAGCTGCGCAGTTCAGAAGTCCAGTCTTTAGGGATGTGTTTTACATTTCCTATAAAAGCTCCAGAGCCCCACCTTTTGACCAAAGACTGGATTTATTTTAAAGCAGGCCATTTGATGTCCCAGTGCAGCCCCTGTGCTCTAGTGAGTTTTTTCTGCCATGCAGTATAAGTTCTCCACACTGTCTTAGAGGACCCACAGCTATTAGGGCTTCACGAGGCACAGCATCTGATTTGTTTAGCTCAAGTGTTTGTTCAATTACAGCTTTGAATCATTATTCACTTGGTAGAAATGGTCTGCCATGCAGTTTAAAGGACAGGGCTTTTTTGTCACTGAAGCACTTGTCCTGAAAGTAACATGAACTTCAGGGAGAGGCACAGCTGCTGAAAAAAGTGGAGTGACTGACCTATGTGGATGAACTGCACCCTTCTTTCTACAGAAAGATTTTGGCAGGTGGGGAGAAAGAGAAAGGGAGGTCACAGTAGCTTGTTGAACTACGTTGTTTTATACTACCTGATTTTGTCTTTCATTAGTAAACATCTGGATTTGTTTCCAGGTCAGAGAGATGAAGAGGAGGCACACCATATCTTAGAAACCTTCGCTTTTTACCTCAGTGAGCCTCTGAGTAAGGAACGGGTAAAAGCATTCAGTGATGGAGTCTATGCTATTGTAGCAACCCTGCTCATTTTGGATATATGGTAAGGCTTTGTGTTGCCTCTTACACATTGTGTTATTAAATACAGTATTAACTTTTGTCTATGTGTAACATTTGAGGAAATAAAATAAAACAAACACTGTCTTTGACTTCTAAAACCTGCAGTGGTTACCGTAAGTATGATTTTCTGGAAAGATACAGAACACAAGCAAAAGATATTTCTAACGCCCACGTTTCAGCTGTAGTTATCATCAGTCTATTTAATATATGTTGGGGTGGGGAGTCTTGAAGAACAAAGCTTCCGTTCTGCTTAGTCATGTTTTCAGATAAAAGGATTTTATCAACAAAAGCTGTTTAGTCACTGTGGCAACTTTATTACATTAACCTAAAAGAATGCGAACTTACTTTCAGATTTCCTTTCAGATCCAATTTACTTGCAGAGCTGTTATTTGAAATGCTCTTTTTAAGTTACAAATTAGAGAGCTACAAAGTGGATGCCTGTTGTTCCCTACTTGCTCAGAGTAAAGCAACATAGTTCAGTGTTGCTCCAGGTGTGATTTTATAACACTAATATGCAAAGTAAAGTGAGTTTTCTCTCCACAGTGAAGACAACGTCCCTGATCCCAGAGAAGTTGAGGAGAAGTTCCATGGCAGCCTTCTTGAAGCTTTAAGTGAATATGGGCCAAACTACCTTGCCTACTTTGGCTCATTTGTAACAATTGGTCTCCTGTGGTTTGTCCATCACTCACTTTTCTTTTATGTAACAAAAGCTACACGATTAATGGGACTGCTTAACATACTTTCATTGGCTTTCATTGGTGGGCTTCCGCTTGCTTACCAGCTGACCAGTGAATTTGCAGAGAAGTCTTACAATGAAATAGAAGCCATTCAGGTCAGCTGTGTTATCACTTTCTTTGCCAGCATATTTCAGTTTGCAATATGGACTACAGCCCTCCTCCATGAAAGGGAAACTTTGCATCCTTTTGCTAGGTATGGTGGCAAGGAGCATGCCTTCATGTTTGCCAAGCTGGCTCTCTACCCTTGTGTCAGCCTTGGGGCCTTCTTTCTAACATGCTTGTTAAGAGAATTTAGCACAGAAATTTTCCATCTTATGCAGATTGTAATCCCATTTGCTTTTCTTGCCTTGCGCATTTTTGTAAGAATTTCTTTAACTCTTATAAAGTCCGTGATGTCTCTCTCCAGACGGAAAGTTGTGTTGTTAGAAGAAGAGGAGGCATGTTTGTCTCCTACTGAAACACTGTCCTAAATTTCTGTGCAGTGCATGTGAAGTTACAACATTAACTTCCGTTCTTCTAACTCACATTATCTTGATGTGTGGATTATATTGATCTAAACCAAAGCCTGCGTTGGCCATAACTGGGGCATATTTAAGTTTTAGCTGGTCATGCTTGAGACCCTTTCTCCAAAACCTGTAGTTGAAAAAATTGGGTAAATAGGGGATACAAAGAAAAGCATGTTCCCCTTCCTTTAGAGCTGCCCTTTTGAAAAAAATGCTGCTTGACATGTAACTGCACTGATGATCGATTAAGAGGTGCACAAAGAGATGCCCAGCAAAATGGCCTTTTTTCTGACATTATGGCAGCCAAACACAGGTATAGAAGCTGGTTGTGCTGCTGCAAGATATGGAGTGAGGCCTGGAAGACATGGAGACCTCTAGATTTCTGGGTGGTGCAGAACATTTGTGCATACAGGTTGCTGGTCTCCCTTTTTTTTGTTTTTTTTTTTAATGGTTACAATGTCCGTTCTGCATAGTCACAAACTTGTGATTGCATTTTCAAAACTACTTGTGTTTGAGTGGCTCTGAGCATGAGTTTAGATGGGAGTTGCAATTGTGACCCATATGCAGTCTTCCAGGCTACATGAACACAAGTTCTTCACGCGTATTTGTTCTTTTAAAAAAGGATGTATTTAACAAATGAGGATTCATGTGGCTATGTATCCAAGGTTTGCACTAGCTTTGATATCTCCCAGGGAAGAGATTCAAAGAGCTGTGGGACTAGAGGTAAATTTGTTTTCAGTTCTGAAGCGGCAGCTCATCTGAAATGAAAGGTTTGGATTTCTCAGGCTTTTTGTGTCTGTTTTCATGCCTGTTGAAAGGAACATCCTTCTGTTATTCTGAAGGCATGATGTCATATTCAGAGAGAGTATGAGACTTTCCTGCCACATATAAGAGTTTCCCATCAGGTAAGGGAGTTGAGTTTTTCCCTAAGTAGAGGCTAACTAAGGGATCCCGCAGATTTCTGAGTCTCACCAAGACAGCAAAAGAAACTAACCCTGTAGAAGTTCCAGTCCATGGCATGTTGAATTTTTTCACACTTACATGCAGTTTGATAAGCTTTATGCATATCAAACATTATCCTGCAGAGAGCTGTACAGAAGGAATGGGCAAAGTCATCTAGCCTCTGGCTGCCCTGGAAGCATTTACATTTCTTCTTGGCAGAGCCGTTAGTTTGTATCTTGACCTGTCTTAGTGCCTGATAACTTTAATGCCATATTTAAAGGCATTTGAGGGATTTAGTAGTTCCTCTTAAAAAAAATGTAAAAATACTGTGGCAAAGTATGCCTGGAACAATTGTTAGTGAAAATAAATTCAGATCTCTCGTTTCAGTTGAGATCAGTCTTGAAAGCACTTGTGCTTTTGGTTTGAAGCACCTTGGAACCAATATGTAATTGTTAGTATTACGTACTTCTTGTGAGAGAGTATGTTCAGATATTCAAGCGGTTTTATACCTGGTTGAAGTTAAATGACTTCCAGTAGGATTCTGCATTGTGTTGTGTATTACAGGGATTTTCTGGTATTTAATAAGAGCACTTTTTGTTCTATATGGTTTTGTTTCTAATGTGCAGCGGGCACGTAATAATCAGTGAATATGTGTATTTGTAATAAATTTCAATCAGTGAAAAAACAAAGCTTGTAGCCCTGTATTTCTGCTCTGCAGGTGAAACTTAAATCTGATGCCCACGAGTAAAATATACGTTGGACATCTTTTTATTTTTTTTTCTTCAAAATCATCAAGGTCCCTTCCAACCTCAACCATTTTGTGATTTTTTGTGAAACACCTGAAAGTTTTTAATGTGATGTAAAGAAATGTTCATTTTACTTCCGTTGGTACTTGGAAGAAAATGAGATCTGAAACTGAATCTGACCAAGGAGTTTCATTCCAATGTATACAGGAATGCTTTGAAGAGCAGTGAATTGCAATGTCTAAATACTACAAGGAACTGTATTGGCTAACTAACGCATTTTTCCTTTTTTTTTTACCCCACTTGCAAGTAAGTAATTTGTTCTGGAGAAAGAACAATTTTTTTTGCTTGTTGTGAAAGATACCATTATTCAAACCAAATTTAGTAATATCTCAGAACCTAAACTTGAGGGCAAACTTGACCTGAGGTTTTGTATAAACAGAGTTGGTTTAGGATCATAACGATAGTTTTGGTAAGTTCTGGAGAAACGAACTGCATTTCAAAATGAGGCATTAATTTGAATGTTCTAGAAAGAACATTCCCAAATCTAACCATAACTAGGTGTTCTTTACAGAATTACTAATGACCACAGGTTTTTGTCTCTAGAAAAACAAAAGTGAAACACTTGTAATGATTATAAGAATCCCAGAATGGATGAGGTTGGAAGGGACCTCTGGAGACTCTGTAGTCCAACCCTCCTGTTTAAAACAGGGTTGGCTAGAGCTGGTTGCTAGGGACTGTGACCAGTCGCCCTTAGAGTAAAAAAAAAAGGGTTCTTTTTCGTTTTTCTTCCATTTAAAAGGAATTTCCTGTATTTCAGTTTGTGCCCATTGCTTCTCATCCCGTCACTGGGCATCACTAAGAAGAGTCTTTGCTCCTCCCCATGAGGTATTCATAAACATTGATAAGATCTCCCCTGATCCTTCTCTTGCAGGCTGCATAGTCCCAGCTCTCAGTCTCTCCTGAGTACGAGAGATGCTCCAGTCCTGCGTCATCTCCATTGCCCTTTGGTGGACTTGCCTTATCATGTCCACATCTCTCCTGTACGGAGAAGGGCAGAGCCGGACACAGCGTGCTGGGTATGCTCTCACCCGTCACTTCCCTTGACCTGCCAGTGGCACTCTTCCTAAGTCCAGGAGGCTGCTGGCCACCTTTGTCAGAATAATCGTTCTAATGATAAAAGGTCTCCTGAAAGCGAAGAAGTAAAATTGCAGTAAAACATTGCAGTAGAACTTCCCTTCTGATGACATTGAAATTTTTTGCCTGTGGTACTGGTACTGCCAGTCAGGAACAACTGCCTCCTAAAGTGAATAGGTCAAGTTGGACAAAATGTGGTCACGCATGGGAGGGTATTTGAGAAGTCCATTGTCTCTCAGTTCAGAATTGTGATTCCATAATGATGCCTGTTTTGTTTGTTCAGGCTGGTTGGCCGCCTTAATGGGTTCACGTTCAAGGTTAATCCATTCAAGACATTAAACGATGATAACAGCCACTCGCAGCACTGTCATCTCTGCCTTCCATAACCAACAATGCTAGCTGAAAAGTTCTGTTAAAAGACTGCTGAAGGATGCAGTTTCAGTTTGGAACCTTCAGAATAATGATGAGCATACAGAGCTCTTAATTTACTTTAAAAGAGCAACAGTCATATCTGGAGTTCTTTGCAGAGGCAGGATTTGTGTTTAATTGCTATAAACATTGTAAATGGTTTATGACTTTTTTCCACTGTATTTGAAAACAACTGAGTTAGTGCAAATAATTCTTTTACAACTTATCAGGAAGCTGTTGCTTATGATGACTCAAACTTCCATGTAAATTTGGAGCAGACACAGTCAAAGCTATTGTTTAGCATCTGATAAACCAAAAGCAGCTCTTGCGATTGGATTTTTCAGTAAAATAAAGTCAGTCACCAGGAATATTGGATTTGCTCAGTTTGATTTTTCAGTGTGAGGGTACTTGACAGTAGTGTGCAAAGCTTAAATTCACTATAGGAACTTGGTTTGCAGCCTTCAGCTTGGTAACCTGTGGGGTTACTCAGGACAGCGTCAGGTAACTGATCTATTTGTTTGCTACTATTGAATGGGGCACAACGATAAACATTTTTGTGGTGAGAAGAAAACACACAGATCTCTTCTAATGCTTGTATTTGGGATTTTATTGCAGGTAACTACATGGTGCATTTACTCCTTTTTCTTTGCCATGTGTGACGGTGTAGCATCCCGAATTGTAGTCCAAGTTGCGTGCTGCATCCGTAGGGGAAGACCAGAACATCTGTTCTATTTGTGTATCAGCAAAAGAAATGAAGAGCAGTAGTGATTTTCCTCAGAGTTTTAGTGCTTTCTGTTTAAACATCCAGCATAGGGATGTCACTCAATTAATTGCTCAAAGTCATTACAAAATGGAGCATTTTGTTGTTTGGAATAAATCAAGCTCAATGAGTAACTCAGGAAAGCATTTCTGCAAAGCAAAAGCTCAAAAAACAAGTTAGTGCTCGTTCGTAAAGGCACTGGCTGAAGAGCAGACTCTGCTGTTACTGACATACTCCTTCTGTAGAATTGATTTTTTTAGCAAGACATAAGTAGGCTTCTTTTTTCTGACCCTGTCTTAGGAGTTTGGAACTTTTAACATATGGGACTTACTTCCTTTTCTAGCAGTAATTTGTATTTAGCACTCCCATTCATGTGAGTGACAAAACCAAGTCAGCACTGAATTTGTTAGCCTGGGTCATCAGAAGGCGTTTCAGGCTGATGGTACACAGAAAAGGCTGGTTAGATGGCCGATTAGTTGGCTGTATTTCAAAGTAAGTAATTCAAGACCATCACAGTTTGCAACTTTTTTCTTTGTAGTAGTAAGTTGAAAAACACTTCTGTCCAATATATGATCTAAGTTGAATTGTTTGCTTTTAAAACTGGTATACTATCTGGAGAAATGCCAGACTGGGTTGTAGTTCTGCAAGCGCCGCTCTCGGAGCCAGCGTGTGTTCTCTTCGCAGATCAGCATAAAGGCTCCTGGTTGTGCTGCTGTGGCTTTGTGTTTGGGAGATTTGTAACAACTAAAATCATGCCCGTCGGGCATGTGAGGATGTTAAAACTGTCATCGGGACATGGGTTGGACAAAAGTGAATAGGCAATCATTGTGCCACTAGTAACTTCACTGGTTTGTTACTGACTTCGCATTGAGCTTTGTGGTGAATTACTGTGGCATTAACGACTGGTACTGGTATTTGGAGCTAAAGTGATGTCACCCAGCAGTGACCTCTCACTTGTAGTGCTCCACGTGTCCCTCAGAGTTCTTGCTACTGAAAGTAAGTAAAAAAAGGAAATGTAAAAAAAAAAGTGGTAAGTTACATACATTCCATGAAAGCACTTCCGGGTCTTACTGATGCATGACATACAACAATAATCAAAAAAACGT